TCTGTACTTGGATTTGTGAATGAGAGATTATATTCATACCACTGAGTACTTCTTCCATATTTTTTTTTAATATTTTTATATATTTTACACACTTTCAACATTTGATAAAAAAGTACTAAAAAATTAAAAAGGTGTAGGGAAGTAATTTGAGGTGGAGTGCGAATATAATCTCTCGGCTGGCTGTTACATGAAGCTTTTACTGTGTGGTAATGGTCAGTTTGGGAATTACATCTGTTCTGCAGGAAAGATTGGGTTCGGAAAATAATGGTATTTTGTTTGCTCTGTTTCTTTTGGTTGCCTTTTGACTTGGTGCATCGGGCTTAGTCCCTTCTTTCTTTTTCTAATAGGGTTTTAGTCTTTGTTTTGATGGGGGTGATGTGATTGATTTGGACTTGGATAATTACTTATATGATGATTTCAATGTATGGAGTATGGGTGTTGGAAGTATTATTGGGAGATGGAATAATGACATGACACGAACAATAATTTCTGGCGTAATTTGTTAATTTTCTGAGCATTCCACTGTCTTTTTGTAGGGCTGGCTGGTGGATGAGAGATTTTTCAGTGTTCTCGTCACACAAAATAATACATTACGTGCTTCTATATAAATGATGGGTTATATGTGTTGAGAAGTTAATAACTTAAAAATTAAAATTTTTTACCATTTGCATAAAAACACGTGATGCACCATCCGTATTCCCGTCGTAGTTAAAACTTTTCCCTAGTGAAGGAAGCTGCTTTTGGCTTTTTATTACTTGTTGAATCAGCCGCCGGAGCACTCGTATGTGATTTTGGTTTTATCGTAAACCATCATCTCGAATCGAAGGTTGGTCAGATAGCTCGTTTTAACCTTATGATTTTCTAAGAAATTAATATTTTAATAAACAATGCATGATCATATTTCTTACCATCTCCAACCGAGAGTCATAACACCAAACATAATTTATTATTTTAATTGAAATATTATGGTTACTTAAATTAAATTACCTCAATAATTTTAAGTTACTGATTGTCAATAATTTTCATGTTGTTAAATGTTTTTAAAAATGTTTAAGTTTCATGTTGTTTAATTTTTTTATGTTATTTAATGTTACTTAATGTCATTTGATATTGTTTAATGTTGTTTTATGTTACTTAATGTCACATCTCTGGCTCGACTTCGCCGTATCATGATATTGTTCTCTTTGGGCCCCGACCACGCCCTCACGGTTTTGTTTCTGAGAACTCACATGAGAACTTCCCAGTAGGTCACTCATCATAGGATTGCTCTCGCGTGAACTCGCTTAACTTCGGAGTTCCAATGGAACTCGAAACCAATGAGCTCCCAAAAAGCTTCGTGCTAGGTAAAGATGAAAATATACATATAAAACTTATAGGACCCACTCCCCTGGGCGATGTGGGATGTTACACTTAATGTTATTTAATGTTGTTTAATGACTTAGGAAGTTATAGGAAAAAGTATATATAATTTTTAAATTTTGTAAAAAAAAAAAAAAATATGACGTCAGCATGTGGCTTGGCCTGACCTGGGGCCGGCCGGTTGGCCCTTTGGCCCTTTTTTGTCCAGTGGGGTCCACGAGCTTTTTGGCCTGCCCTTTGGTTGGAGACGATTTTCGAACTATTTTTTTACCCTCTAGTCATCTGGACTCTTTGGTTGGAGATGGTCTTAAGTAGTCCTACCGAGTACTGAATGCTATAGATTTTAGGAAGACGAATTTAGAATTTATGTTTGCCGACAAACAAGAGAGAGTTATAATATTGAGGTTGGGTGTATTTTTGCACATCACCTTCAATTAGAGATATTGTTCACCACTGACAGTAGTGAAATACAAACACATACGCAATAAGTCATTATTCAAGTCGATGGACACTTGAAAAATGAACTTATTTTTACTTGTATAATAACATGTAACGTACCACTTTATATTTACACACACTAAAAATTCTCTTCTCCCACTTTACGTATTATCGTTTATGAGTTTAAATTTTAATATTTATCTCTCCATTACATAAATTTTAAAATTTCAAAGTGGAAAACATCACCACTAATAGTGAGCAAAAATTTTCCCGTTGAGTTTGGAAGAATGAACTCCAAGTGTCATTTTCTTCTTACACGAGTCATAAGCTATAAGCCGCATCACATAAGAAGTGTGATCATGCATCTGCATGCTTGCCGCGTGTATGCTTTTGCGGCACCGAACATTAATTTTGTTCGTCTCTTTTGCTCTTGTGAGTGCAAATTTGGAGGCTGCGGTCCAGAATTTCTCTCAATTATATCTGGGCAGATGCCACACTGACCGCGGACTGCCAGATTATTATCAAGAATATCCCATTTAGGGTAAAAAAAATAAAAAAACTAAAAGCCCATTTTCGGCAATAGAAAACATCGATGTTGCAAATAGCAATTATTTATATAGGACCACAACAATTACGAAACCATCGAGGAAGAAGGAAAAGACAGAGATATATAAAGAGTCATGTTTGGCTTCTACCAGCGGGAAGAAATTGTGTATAATTATTTAGTAATATTGTCGATAAGAGGAGTATTATGATCAATCGCGTGCATGCACGTACATTCACCTTAACTAGTTGCAAAATGATAATACTAATCGAGCGCATGCATGCATAAATTCTCCCTATCAATCGTGCGCATGCATGCATAAATCCAAACACCCTCCTCTTCCAGGGGCTTTGTAAATGTTATAAACATGAGTAACTACGATGAATCTGTATAACGTATACCGTGGCAATTAATTTATGTCACTCTTAGCATGGTAATTTCCATCCCTTGTTCTTACGCCGTCTTCTTTTATTTATCTCTTGATTCTTCGATGAATTGTATTATTAAAATGCTAAAAGATAATGATAAAATGAGTACGAAAAATCATTTTAAATTCTTCGTTGTCAATATCACCTTAAGTCCACTGAAATCTACATTATCAAAGAAAATATTGAAATGGGGTCCATTTTTAACGCGAGACAAAGCGAATACATATTAATGTAATATTGTTGGTGTGTGTGATTGTCAATGAGCATGGGAGGAAGAGGAGCAGGAAATTGAGTAATTATGTAGTCTGATATCCCAGCAAGTTGAGGTTATCGTCAAACCAAGTCACTAATTAAATCACATATTAAAGTAATATTGGCAGTCGCTATAGTGCGCCGGTGGTTTTGAAAGCCAAACTTTTGGATGATCCAACACCAATTAATATATTCAAGTCTAATGTGTTTTAGAGACAGACGATATGTAATTTATAATTTATATAATTTATGCTGCAAGCATGAGTATGATGGTGATGGAATGGACTAAATTGTAAAGATAATTTGGTGTTGTGACTTAGAAATAATGAAATATGGATGAGATGTGATCAAAGGGCACAGTCGCATGCATGACATGAAAGGTGGTAAACCATTTATTTGCCTTTAGATTTCTGCAAATCCGGATCAATTTGCATATTTTATTGCTAGTTGTGTTGATCAATTATTGTGTTCCTATTTGTAAGGTGCAGATGAGAGAACTGAACATGAGACTTTGCTTGTATGTACTGAATCAAAATATATGCTCTTAACCACTAGAGCTATAAGTTTTTGTTCTAGTCAATATTCGACTCTCGTTCTTTCTAACCAGGAATAATTTGGAACTTTGGATCGGATGGAGAATTGGACTACTTTTGCATCGTTGAAGTGAAACATGCTATTTGCTCCTCAAGAGGCTATATTTTCCATCAATGTCATGGGCTATACCTTGAAATCTTGAAGGTGAAGAATTGGACCGGAAGAGAGGAAAGTTTCCCATAGGCTAGAGCCGAATGAATTGGATTTTGTTGGAAGGCTGGAAGCCCAACTACCTACTATGCCAATTGAACCTATTTTTAACTCCCCTATCATGTGTAGTTTTTTTTTTTTAATAAACGAGATTATCTATACTAAAAGGAAAGGCAGAGAGGTCAGTTTAGCCTCACAATGGCTAATAATAATGTGGTTCAAATTTACATTTGGTAAAAAATCGAACTTAAGATCTTTAACTTACAAGTGAAGAGAAATATCACTAGACCGTAGTACTAAATGACTCCTTTAATGTGTAGTTTGAGTCTTAACTAATACAATAGCACTTCACATCATCCTTTTTTTGCTGGAGCCTGAGGTATCCCACACCCGCGAAGGGTAAAACTAATCCCCAATGGAGCTCAAAAAGGTTAAAAACATTTCAACCCACCCCTTGCCATAGTTAAATAGCATACGTCTCCTAAAAATTTTCAATTAGGGAGTAATTCACATAATATTTAGTTTCATGCCATTGCCAACCATATTTTCATATTAAAACCTCATTTCAACTTTTATGTATGTTGTTGGAAAAATACTCGTCTACTCCTTACAGAGTTAGATAGATTCTGTTAGAGACCAACTACGGTTTGATATATGTACACATTTTACATTTTGTATTTTAATGAGTTATTCTTTTTGTATGCATGTGCCATATTATAATATGCAATGAAGAATGACTCTTATGTGTGAGGAGCAAAGCAATGAACAATGTTCTATGTCATTGGCAATTTGGCATTGGCTCTAATATTTGTTTGACAACAAATGCATGAAATTTGTGCAATTTTACCCACATAAACAAACATTTTTAAGTGAGAGATATCATGTTTAATTCATATAGATAGTGAGTTTGATATACTTTGTGTGATCGAAAATAATAAGTTCGATACCTAATTGTGTATTATGTGTTTGACACCAAATCTCCGTTAGATTATAATATCCTTGTAAAAGGAAAGCGATTTTAATTTCATATGCATATTATGTCATAGGCAATTTGGCCAATTTGGCCAATTGGCTACCAATTGGTGTTTTAATAACAAATGCATGCAACCTGCGTGATTCCTCAAACACCAACATTGACCAGTCTCTTTCTTATTAAAAATGAATAGAATATGGTGTCAGTCAGACAAAGTCAAGCTTTCGAAACCTCTTTTTATTATCCATCTGTCAAATTCTCAACTGTTTGTTTTTGCTAGTTGTCCTGGTTCTCTGGTCCTCCGCCTCCGCTAGCTAGCTTTTGGTGCTGTTTTGAGTGGTTGGCTGCCATGGGAAGAGCTCCATGCTGTGACAAGTCCAGAGTGAAGAAAGGACCCTGGTCACCGGAAGAAGACACCACCCTCAAGAACTACCTCCACAAACATGGCACTGGTGGCAACTGGATTGCTCTACCGACCAAAGCAGGTAAAACCCATCCTCTATTTTTAACTGATCACTAGTTGTTTAGATCACAACAGTAATTTCTTAATTTTTAACCCATCCTTTATTACCCTCTTCACGGAGGTTAATTAAATTTTAATTCTATGTTTTAAGGCCTCAATCGTTGCGGTAAGAGTTGTCGTTTGAGATGGCTAAACTATCTTAGGCCTGACATCAAGCGTGGAGGTTTTACTGAGGGAGAAGACAATGTTATTTGCACTCTCCATGGTACCATTGGAAGTAGGCAAGTCAATAATCATCATATATATATATATATTTATATATAAATCATAATATATATGTACATATATATCTTAGTTTAATTTTCGGATATATGATAAACAAAACCAATTACAAACTTTTTTATAGACGGCAAATTGTTCGTTTGGTGTCCCCAATTATCTTTTTGGTTAAATTTTTTTAACGAGTTCATATTTCAATCTATTTTGTATGTATTTGTGAACGTGTATATGTAATTTATGCTTTTGTGTTGTGGGATTTAGGTGGTCTATTATAGCTTCTCAACTTCCAGGAAGAACTGACAATGATATTAAAAACTATTGGAACACCAAGTTGAAGAAAAAACTCTTGGCAACAAACAACATGAATTTGGCTACTAGAGACACTGTTGATACCAACTTGTCACAGTTTTCGGATTCGATTCCGAAAACTGAAACCCTACATGACCAGGGAGCACCATCTTGTTTTGATGGCACATTGCCATATCTAATGGATGTAAGCTCGGGGCAAAGTTTTGATCCCTGCACTCAAATTTCTCCTTCAAACCCTATGGAAGTTAATGGTTTTGAGACTAGAGAAGGCAAGAGTTTCAGCATTATTTCACCATCTCAAGAAGTTTCAAGCCTTCCAACTTCATCTGGTTTGGGTTTGGAGAACAATTACAGCATCTGGTCTGGCAATGAAGGTGTCGATAATGTCAGTGGGGTTCTTATGGACTATGGATTTGAGACTCCTAATGATGATCTTCTGGATGGCTTCGGTTATTAAGTTTCATTGACTAACACGAAAATAGTGGGATGCGACTATGTTATTTACTAGCTAAGGTGTTGGTTTTCTGTAAGGTAATTAAGACCAATTAATTTGGATGATGGAATTATGCACGAAGTTTATCGACTAATCACGTGCTGTTGTAGTCTTATTTTGTACTAATATGTTTGTGGAAATCTTGTGACATACATAGGATATGCAGCCAGCAATATTTTGTTTTCTTCTGAGTAGTCGTAGTCACGATAGTTGCATTGTGCAGCTAGTCTAATTTAAAATTTGTGTTCGTTATTCAAGGTATTCGATATTCTAAATGTTTTAACCGTTAAATCTTAAATTTTATATTTTGAAACATAAATTTAAAAATTAAAATATTTAGAGTGTCGGATACGCCGGAGCACCTTAAAAGTCTCTAACATTAGCCAAGTCAAGGGGAAGAAATGTCTCCATCTGATTATTGACTAATTTACTATGCATTTCTCTCTCTGACGAAGTGGCCCTTGTAAACTTCGTACTCTCTGTGTACTTTTTCCTCTCCTTCCATGATATTTCACGACTCTGATGAATTATTGATCTGTTTTCATTCAACTCTACCATCGTACTTCCTTTTCTTTTTCTCTTTTTCTTCCATATTAAGTAACTTATTTGGTTCTCATAGTAAGCTGGTCTTTCTTTTTTTTTTTTTTTTTATACAAGCAATTAATATTGGCGGAGTGGGGAATTTAATGTAAAATGTCGGTATGCTCTTAACCACTTGAACTCAACACAATACCTTGACGCCAAATGAGCGAAAAAAAATGAATAAAAAAGCTTAACTATGTACTTAAAAAAACCAAGAATTTCGAAGAATAGCGTAGGAACCAGCAAAGGTAACGCCTAACCAGCTACCTAGCAAATGGTGCTGTCATGGAACCTGCATTTGTGGAATCTGTATATCTGGAAATCACTCTAGGTGAACTATGGTATGGTGCAATCAGACACGAGTTTCTTCATTTGAATTTTCTCATAGAACAACGCGTGTTTCTGACATGCGATGGTGACACATTGACATTGCGGTTAGTACTTCTCCGCAAGTACTAAGATTAAGAACATTGTGATAGAGTGTTGCATTTGCATTGCAGGCAGAGAGCATTCTTGCAGAAGCAAAAATTTTGGGTCGTTACTGGGATTTATTGTCAGGGAGGGTCGACACAGTGAGGGTTTTCGTCGCTCTGCGGTACTTCAACGACGCATCGACTGCTGGTTGTTTTGTTGACTTCGAATAACATACTAAATTAGCTGATTTCGAATGATCCCCTGTTCATTTCATATGAATTTCACTTGGTATTTTCTATGTGCCGAAAGCAGTAGTAATCAAAACCAAACCAAAATGAGTATAAATTTGAATACACCGGCAAAGTGAAAATTCCGAGTTCGCTGATGATCTTAAGCGAAAAAAACAAGCCGAAGTGCAGAAATTATCCTAAGGCGTAGTAGTTTATAGGATAATGGTCTAAAAGACAAGCTCATGAGGTTTCATCCCAGCCTTGAGAGAGAATCTTGCCGCCAAGTACGTCTTCAAGTCAGGGACAGCCTCAATGGACTTTATCAATGAAGCATCCACACTCTTCTGATCGTCTTTCTTTCCTTGCGGGAGCACATTCTTCTCCTACAGTTTGTTGTTCGGGAAATATTAATTAGTAGCGAGACAACGAAAAGTTTCCACCAGAAGCTTTGGCACAGTGAATGTAATTCTCCAATAACTGACATACTTGCCATTAACATGTACAAGAAGAGATCAACCTAGTAGAAAAGAGATGGATAGGTACAATTAAAAGGGCAACAAAAAAGGATCAGAAAATCTGTATAAGAAAAATACCAGCAAAATCGGAAGACAATGATCACATTTTGCCACATTGAACTTTGAAAGTCCAGGCAGACAGTGCCAACAACGAAAGAGAAGAGAATCACGAGAACAATAAAGTTTTAGCTCAAAAGTATATGTAAATGAAAAGGACAATAATTCTAACCTCTTTCTCGGCCTCAAAAAATTCGCCCTCTCCCTTCTTCTTCTTCTTTTCAACTTCCTTAGCAAAGTATTTATCATCGAACTTTTCAACGTTCAACCCAGAAATGTCAACCTTGGTAGAAGTGGCAATCACGTAAGACTGATTAACACGTCTCAAAGGCACACCATTAATTTTAAACGGACCTGCAATGGCGTCAATACCAGCAATAAAGTTAGAATGGCAATCAACAAGTTTTTTCCAAGAAGCTGGCAACGGAAAACCCACGTCTATGAAAGTTGAAGGCATAAAAGCTAATTCATAAATTCTAACTATATCTATATGTCCTCATAACAATCACGATTAAAATAATGCAAGGAACATAGATCATATCCTCAAGAAAAAAACGTCTGCATAAATTAGAGAAGGTAAGAATGTAGATTACTAGATGACACTTCACAAGTTGATACACTATCTATGCTGTTACAGAAGTGAAACTCCCGCAATGTCTGTACCTCTCTCTTTCCACCAAATGTTACTCTTTCATGTCATCAATCATTGCTTCACAAGATCAATTTCATCCTTCCATACACTTTCGGAAGAAAAACATTAGCATTAGAGTACTCACTCACTAACCCTATGTGAATATACCGCACTCAAAGCAAACCCCACCTTGAAAATTATCCCATCCAACAGGAGGGGAGCAATCCCATTTTTGCAATAACTTAAAACAAAATGAGCCTTCCATTTTTGCACCAAATTCTACTTGTGCCGCTACGAAACAAGGTTATCGGCATTTGGCGGGAGTTCACGACGAAAGTTCTTAGGTAATTATAAGCCCAAACTAAACATTATTAACTTGTCCCGGTAACATGAAAATTTTAACATTAATTCGAAATTCAAGACAATTCAGCTAAAGGTCGTACCCAGTGCACAAGGCTCCCGCTTTACGCAGGGTCTGGGAGAGGTGAATGTCGGCTAGCCTTACCCCCATTTATGGAGAGGCTGCTCCCAAGTCTCGAACCCGAGACCTACTGCTCATGGGCGAAGGCACTTGCCATCGCACCAAGTGCGACCTCTATTCGAGACAATTCAGCTAAAACAAAAAAAAATATTCAAATCTCACCAGTAACAAGCAGGAGCCCAGAAGAAAGCTGCTTAAGAAAAACAACTCTCTTTCCCTTAAACCTTCCAGCCAATATAATCAGCACCGTCCCTGGTGTAATACTAGCCCTGCATCCAAGTTCCAACCAACCAAATAAAACAATCAAAATTTAATTTATTAAGAACCCATTTTCTAGTTTCTAATTTCAACAATTATCTAAAAATTATTAGAAACCCAATGATTCTAATTTGAAAAATGATTAAAATTTGAGAGAGTAGATAAAAAGAGAACCTGAGCTTGGTGGGCTTGGGTTTGCGTTTGTTGACGAGAGGTTTCTTGACGTCGTCGGCGGGGTAGAATTTGGGCGGCTTCTCAGGCTGGGTCTCCGCCGCCGGCTTCGCGTCGTGGCGAGGGAAAACGCCGCCGTTTTTGGCCTTGATAGCCCAAAGACCACGCTTGTGGTACATTTTGGACCTCGAGAACTTACCCACCCCGCGAACGAGATCTGGGTTTCGGGTCTTTCTCGGGTTCCTTGCTTTTGCCGCCATTGCTGAGTTGACACGGTCTCTCTACGGGTTGAGATTTGCAGAGAGTGACGACAGAGGAAGAGCAGGCGGGGGTTGATGTAAAACCCTAACTGGGGTTTTGGTTTTTGTTTTTGGTCTTGGGCTTTGTATCATTCGGAAATATTTTAAGGGAATGGATCTATTTTTTATAAAAAAAAAAAAGATTAGTTGTAGGGTTTACACCACATCGAATTTTAACGATCCGAATCGTTTATTTTTCAAGTTGCACCACATAGATCATCCTTGCAAAATATTAGCTAAATCGGAAATGTTTAGACCATCTCTAACCGAGGGTTGGCCAGAGGGCTCGTTTTAGCCCTCTGGCCCTCCAAGATTCCCCAAGATATTAATATTTTAATGAACAGTACATGGCCATATTGGCCTCCGTCTCCAACCGAGGGCCAGAGGCTCGTTTTAGCCCTGTCACAAAAAACCGTCTCCAACCGAGGGCCATAGGGCCAAACATAATTTATTATTTAAAAACTACAATTTAAATTCAAATCTAACGGCTAAGTGACGTCACATGATGTCAGCTAGCCGTTGGTAGCTGACATCATGCTGACGTCAGCTAGCCGTTGGATTTGAATTTTTTTTTGCTATAAATAGGATGGATATTGGGCTATAATTCACACAACTTTAAATTCAATCTATTTCAATTCAATCTCTTTCAATTCAAGTTTGCAATGAATTCCAACTTTGGATCTTCATCCAATTCCAATTAGGGGTCCTCATCCAATTCCAAATTGGAAGCAAAATGAGCGCAAATGAGACGAGAAGATGAGGAGTCTGATGAAGAAGTTCAAGTAAGGTGCAACAAACAAAACATGGCTGCGGCCATGGTGTGTCAGCTAACTGAGAAACAACCTCAATGGGGTGGCTCTGTTGCTGGTCGCTCTTACAAACCACGAAACAGAGCGATGGCGCATGCCAATCTGATGAACAACTACTTTAACCCCAACTCGATGTACACAGAAGAGGATTTCAGACGTCGCTTCCGGATGAGGCGTCATGTCTTCGAGCGTTTACTTCGTGATGTCCAGCAGGTCAATCCATACTTTCGACAGAAGTGGGACAGAGCAGGCCGTCCTGGTTTCTCACCTCATCAGAAGGTTACTGTTGCACTCCGAATGATGGCATATGGCTCCTCAGCTGATTCGATTGATGAAACCCATGGTATGTCTGAGTCTACATGCCTTAATACTCTTGAAGAATTTTGTAACACAATTGTTTAGGTTTACAAAGACGAGTACCTCCGAGAGCCAAATCAAGAAGATCTGAATCGGCTCCTTCACAAAGCTGAAGACCGTGGGTTTCCGGGCATGATAGGGTCATTAGACTGCATGCATTAGGATTGGAAGAACTGTCCCACAGGATGGCAATGAGGCTTTAGCGGAAGGTCGAGAAAGCTAACTGTTGTGTTAGAGGCAGTTGCCTCATATGACACATGGATTTGGCATGCTTTCTTTGGAGTCCCTGGATCCCAAAATGACATTACAGTTCTTGGGCGTTCACCTCTCTTCAATAACTTGACGGAAGGTAAAGCACCTCAACTTGACTACTACATCAACGGCCGTGAATACAATATGGGGTATTACTTGGTAGATGACATCTACCCAAAGTGGGCGACACTTGTCCAAGCAATTCCAAACCCTAGGAATGATGCAGAAAAGTTGTTTACCTTACACCAAGAGGCATACCGGAAAGATGTTGAGAGAGATTTCGGTATTCTACAAGCACGGTGGAAGATTATCAGCGAACCGGCAAGAGGGTGGAGTCGAGAAAATTTGAACTCCATCATGATGTCTTGCATCATATTACACAATATGATAGTGGAGGATGAGCGAGATGGGTATATTGATGGAGAGTCCGATGATGACCAAGAAGATCCAAATAGGTCAAGAAGGGCTCTAGCAAAAATATATGATGGGCCTAATTTGCCTTTCAATCCAAGAACTGGTAGTATCTCTATAAATGAGTATATGAGGCGCTATAGAATGATACGTTCTCGTGCCACAAATAAGTACCTACAACAGGATCTTGTTGCACATCTTTGGGCCAAAAGAAGCATGGAGTAGGCTTTTAAGTTTTATGTTGTTAAATGTTTTTAAAAATGTTGTTTAAGTTTCATGTTGTTAAATGTTTTTTTTATGTTGTATAATTTGTATGTTGGTTAATGTTATTTAATGCTGTTTCATATTGTTTAATGTTGTTTCATGTTACTTAATTTAATTTAATGTTGTATAAACGGCCTAGGAAGTTATAGGAAAAAAATAGAATTGAAAAAAAATATGAAACAAATTTTGTGAAATAGAAGTTATAGGAAAAAAAATGGAATTTAAAAAAATATGAAACAAATTTTTTAAATTGAAGTTATATTAAAAAAAATATGAATCAAATTTTGTAAAATAGAAGTTATAGGAAAAAAATAGAATTTAAAAAAAAAACTGAAACAAATTTTGTGAAATAAAAGTTATAGGAAAAAAATGGAATTTAAAAAAAAATATGAAACAAATTTTGTAAAATAGAAGTTATAGGAAAAAAAATTGAAACAAATTTTGTAAAATAGAATTGAAAAAAAATATGAAACAAAATTTGATTCATATGAAAAGGAAAAAAACAAGGGAAAAAAAGAAGTTTAAATTCATTAAAAAAAAGGTTAATACAACGGCTACTAGCAGTTATATTAAAAAAAATTCAAACTATTAGTGTTGGTTATAACCGACACTAATAGTAATTAAAAAGAAAAATTTGCTTTGAATAACTATTACTGTCGGTTATAACTGACAGTATTAAAAAATTCTTCTTTAAAAAAAAATAGCCAGCCCTCCAGCCCTCTCTGATCCCATGGGGCCCTCCCAGATTCTAGAGCCCTCTGGCCTAGCCCTCGGTTGGAGACGATTTTAGGGCTATTTTCGGCCCTCTGGCCCTCTGGACCCTTCGGTTAGAGATGGCCTTAAGACATCTAATTGAGTTCAAAGAAATTAACGAATACTTTGTTATATAAGAAACAATGAAATTTTATCTTGATAATTAAATAGGCAAATGGGTTCGGATTAAATTGAATTTTTGCAAGAATGATCTATGAATTGAGAATTACAAAATAAACGGTTCAAATCATTAAAGTTTAATGTATAGTGAACCTTGCACCTAATTCCTATTTTTTTTTAAATTGAAAATTTCTTTGCAAAAAGGGCATGCGTATCAGTGAACCAAACTTTACTTGCGCTTTTGTGTTGTGTGCTTTTAGAATAACATTTGAGTTTTAAGAATGGGTAATGCTAAGAGACTAAATTTGTAAATTAAATTATGTGTCATCAATATGAAAAATAACGTTTATCAACTCTTAAATAATAATCTAATTATCAATTTTCATGTCACTTAGTTTACAAAATTTTATCTACAAATTAAATCTCGCTAGCATTACCCTTTAAGAATAGTTGGCTTTAAAAGTAAAACAATTAGTGTTTCATAATGATATTTGGCTTAATTGAATTAATAGTCTCTGTGGTGATAGGGTAGTTAGAAGATAACCTTTATGGTAAAAAAAAAAAACTAGGATTTAAGCCCTTATGGTGAAGTCTGTTAAGATTTAGACCCAAAATTGAAAGTTCTGTCAACTCTCAGTTTATTGTTAACACATGAAGGTCATATATGAAACTAAAAATATAAAGTTAGCCCCACATGTAAGCCTCATGTGCTAATAATTAACGGATAGTTTTGTTTTAGCCTTGTTGATGCACAAAATCAGTGAGGACTTTGGTACAACAGAAAGTGTTAAGTTTGTGACATTCGCTAGATTGCTCCGGTCACTAGTATGGATAAGTATGTACATGGATAGGGATAGGGAAGCCAACACAAGGTGTACGTGGTTCACCCAGATTGGCTACGTCCAAAAAAGTAGAGGAGTTCTCATTAATTGTGAAGGGTTTACACAAGTACATAGGTTCAAGCTCTCATTTAGTGAGTACAAGTGAATGATTTAGTAAAAATGACATTAGGAAATATTGTGAGAGAATGATCTCTATTTATAGAAGAGAGTTTCTAGTTTCATTCTAACATTGACACGTGTCGTGTTGTGATTAACTTCTGATGTTGACACGTGTCGCGCTATGATTGGCTTCTGATATCAACATGTGTCGCGCTGTGATTGGCCTCTTGGTTTGAGGGAAACTCTTCTGGATCCTTGACTGTATAACGTTGACCGGTGCTCAATAGTTTCGGGATTGGTCAAGTATGGTACAAACAATGCTTCCCTAAGTTACCGAGTGAGGGAAGCTCCTCGGTTGGGGACTTGCAAGATCCAAGCCATTGAGTAATCACGAAACTTCTAAGTACCGAATTGTGGTATCATTTTCATTTGCCTTATCTGTCTCATACGTAGATATGGCATCTTCTCTAAAAGTACTTTTCCTCCATCCAGGGGTGGTATCTTTAACCGATGAAGATGCACAAGGTAATGTATCAATTTCACTTGAAGCTTAACTGTAATTTCGGGCTTAGTCAAGTGCGATACAAAACCCTATAGTAAGAGTCCCCCAAGTCGCCGAGTTAGGAGATTTGCCGAAAGAGGTAACAGACAAGGTAAACAATCAGACTTCCAAGCAAGCAGCCTGGATCGGAGGTTCGACTTCGGCTTCCTGTTGATTGTTCTCATTCTCCTTGTGTCGTAAACAGCAATAAGGATAAGGAGAAGCAAATGAAGAAGAGATGATATGAGATACTTTTGCTTTTGAAGAAGTAACTTTCCACATGCTTATTCTTGAACTGATGCTCGATATGAGGCAGTGCTCAATCTGAAATGACGCTTAACTAGAAGTAGCACACGCTGCAAGGCTGCTTGGCTCGTGGCTTATGTTGCCTTGGTTAGCTCGGCTTGCGGCGTTTGAATGTAAGGGAGTCCATTTTATAAAATAAGGGCTCGTTCCTCAATACATAAATGATGGGTTAGATTTGATGCTCGCGGCGAGGCAGTTGCTCAGTAGGCGGCAATGCTCTCTAATGGTGGTGAGGGAGTCCCTTTTATAGAATAAGGGCTCGTTCCTCAATACATAAATGATAGGCTAGAGTTGATGCTCGTGGCGAGGCGGTTGCTCAGTAGGCGGCGATGCTCT